AAAGATTAGGATATTAGAATAGTTGTGTTACAAACATTCTGACCAATGTGAGATAAAAAAATATCAGACAAATTATTAGAATATTTGAATACTTTGTTGCAAACATTGTAACCAATATGAGATAATAAATATCTGAAAAAATATTAGAATATAAGAATACTTGTGTTACAAACATTTTGATCAATATGAATACTTGTGTTACAAACATTTTACCAAATATGAGATAAAGAGTGTCAGAAATATATTGGAATATTAGAATACTAGTGTTTCAAGCAATTAAATCAATATGAGATTAAAAAAGACAGAAATATTAGAATATTAGAATATTTTGTTACAAACATTTAAACCAATATGAAATAAAGTATATCAGAAAAAATATTAGAATACTGTTACAAACATTTTACCCAATATGAGATAAAGAATATCAGAAAAAAATATTAGCATTTTAGAATACTTGTGTTAGAAACATTTTCCCCAATTTGAGATAAACAGTGTCAGAAACAATATTGGAATATTAGAATACTTGTGTTACAAACAATTTACCTAATATGTGATAAGAAGAATATCAGAAAAAATATTACAATACTAGAATACCTGTGTTACAAAGAATTTACCCAATATGAAATAAAAAATAGAAAACATAATAGAATATAAGAATTCTTTGTTTCAAAATTTTAACCAATATGTTTAAAATACTAATAATCTGACATTAGTACATGAATATGTAAGTATAACTTATGTCTAGTTTCTGTCTGTTCTTTGAAGGGTACAAGCTGCACTGATTCAATGTGTACAGATTCACTTAAGGCACAAAGAAATAATAGTTCCATTTTTATGATGAAACGAACAAAATATTAATCATATCAAGATGGACTCTTGTTGGAAAAACTTGAGTCGAAATGAACTTGAAACATTAACAGGTATTTTATAATCATGAAAAATGATACTTCATCACATTTCAATTTCTTTGAAAGAAGAGTTGTACCGAGAGCGTGGAGGAGTTTTTGATTAGATTGATAACCTCACGGGTCTCATGTTACAGTGAGTCTAACCCCCATTGGAAACTGATATCATAACTAGTGACCATTGTTGAACCAGATCATGTGTACAAGAATAGTTTGGTCAGGCATGGAGTCCACCGAGTTGAGGGGAAAGTACATCAAACATTCCACCACAGTTTCGTCTCCAGTGTCTCAATGAAGTGATCACATTTTGATTTATTATTCTGTTTGTTTTCTTTTTTAGTGGACCTTTGTTGTAGGTTCTGCATGTTTAGTGTTTGTGTTTGACTTGCAGGCTCATCTAAATGCAAGGTAGGGCTGGGTCTGTGGAGTGCTTTGTTACCATTATAGTGTTGTGTAGAACTCAACTACCTTACTTGTTACTATAGAGCTGATAGTGACAGTGTAACACGACAGACATGTAGCACCACTTTGGAACAGTAGACAAAAGGTGTTGTTAGAGTTGAATGTTAGCCATTTTACCATTTGATGTTTGTGTGAATCCTTAATGAAAGAATGCAAAAATGACAATACCTCAGAAACAATAAACAATGTAGCTTCTAGAAAGTCGAACTGTTAAGTTGTGATTGGATTTTAAAGTAACAACTGACAACATCCCTTGGTAATAATAATAATAATAATAATGATAATAATGCGGACCTTGCTTTCAAAATGTTATGCCTGCATCCCAAGTGACATGTTGTCTGACTCCCCATTGTTCTCGGTGCCTTAAGTTTAGTACCTCCAAATCTGTTGACTGACATTGGGAGAGTACCCGGATTTGATGCCAGGAATACAGCCCTTTGCTGTCTGGGCTGCTGTAGAGGGGGCAAAGGCACTGATCTAATGATAAGCTTAACCAGCCTGACTGGGCCAACGAAGTTGGCGGGAGATATAGAAATGGGTTCTGTCCGTCCGACCATCCGTGTGTGATAGTGTGTGTGCGTGAGTGCGTCGCGAAATCGTTTCTGGAGCATAACTAAGAAACCGTCAAATATTTCTCTACGAAACTTTGCATGTCTATCAGACTCATGCTGAACTGGTGCCTTTTACTGTGTAGGAATTTTAGAAATTTTAATTTTTTAAGTTTCCATGGCACAAAGTTGGACTTCAAGTTCATTTCCAGAGCATAACTCAAAAACCGTTAAATACTTTCTTGCAAAACTTTGCATGTCTAACAGGCACATACTGAACTGGTGCCTTTTGATATTTAGCACTTTTAGAATTTTTTTATTTTTTACGTTTCCATGGCAACAAGTTGGATTTAAGTTTAAATATAGGGTGGGTTCACTTATGGAGTATAACAAATAAACTGTTAAATATTTCCTTGAAAATATTGTATGTCTATATATAAGGCATATACTGGTGCCATTTGATATTAAGGAGTTTTAGAAATGTTTATTTTAGAATTTCCATTGCAGCTATTTTGACATGGGCTAAGAGAAATGTTGGGTCAGTTACCTGATTTGGGACCATAACATGTTAAAATGGGCGGGGGTATAGATGACTTCGTCGACTATACGCTTGTTACCCCTGTCAATGGATTAGTGTGCACTCAAATTTTTCAATTTAAACTCCCCCGGGAGTATACAACCCAAGCTGCCTTGTCAGGCGCTAGAAGGTTAACAGTAGATCTTAATTTGTTTGAATCTTCTAACTTTACAAGCAAATATGTCTGCCAGCAGTCAAAATGAAAATCAACCAGAACACCGCAGTACTCTTGACAACAGTATGCTACTTACCATAAACATTAAGTTGAAATTCTGGGTGGGGAATGAAGTTATGAAGTCAGGATGTTCCTGTGACAAGATTATCTGTTACATATTCCACAAGAGGTACTGTTAAGACAGAAATACACAAAGAATTTTGAAAATAAAGGAAAGCAATGATCCGATGTAAAACTGTAATATGTTTTTTATACTGAAATCAGCCTGTATGTAAATTTGCAAAAATGTGTTCAGTGATAAAGTTTCAAAGCAGAAAGTTTAATACACAATGCAAAGTGGTTCTTCTGTCATCCTCTATATCACCAGAGCTCCCATTTCATTAAATCTACACTAACCTTGGATCCATTCCCATGGTTCTCGCATTCTTAAATTACCTGCCCTTGATTTTCATTAACATTTTAGGGCTTTGTTTTGCATGTCAGTTTTTCAATGTTGAACTTTGCTCAAACTCTGATGTAATCAATGGGACTGGTCGCCATGTTGTTGATAACCCGTACCCAGCATTGAGGCTGATTGGTAATTTGCATTCTGATTGGTCCCTTAGACTGAGTAGCATAGCAAATCAAATTGGCTAATAACAATCAAGGGTGGGTAATTTTAGATCACAGGAATCACGGAGAAGGATCCAGGGGTTGGTGTAGGTTTACTGAAATACAAGCCCTGCAGATAAAGAGGATGTGCTACCGTAGGTTTTTGTGGCTTCATGTATTGTAAATGTGCTTTTACTGTTGATGTTATATGTTTGTTCAAAAGTAGTGTCCAATGTTGTTTAGTATTATTTCAATCTTCTGAGCATGTATCTGTGTTGGGCTATTATGTGAACATTTATATATTCCTGCAAGAAGTCTTATTGCTTTTAGTCTTAGAAAATGCTTTCCATTCTAACTGCTAAAAACTTTAAAAAAATAATGAAATCTTTTGTTGATAACACATGTACGACAAAGTTTACTTTTTAACTTTTATCACAAAACGTTTCCAATTTCCTCTGTGGCATGGTTCATTCAAAGCAGTTAGTCGAGTGAAATGTTGTCGGCTTAATGTCATTTTGATAAAGATCAAGAAGATGGATTACGCATTCACAAAAGATGCTGTCTTCTTTCAACATCACAACAACAATAACATTGACTTTGTCTATACTTACAAGAACTATTTCCACTTGAGAAAATCTCAAGCTAATTGAAAAAAATCTAATTTGACACAATAAGATGTAAACTTTACATATGTGAAGTGATCAAACAGATGTGTAAATGTGCAAGCAATTCTCTCTGTTGTGCCTGCCCTGGCAAATTAACACCTTTGTGGATTGGCTGACCTGTGGGGTTGAATCAACATTCTCTCCACATCCAGTGGGGCCCCGCCATTTGTTTTGCGTTTTATCGTTTCACAATTGTAACCAGCATTATGATTATTCTTCCCAATGCTAGATTACTGCTGGATCAGCATACTTTGCTTTTGTTTGTTTCATGGTTTTTTGTTGTAAATGTCAAAGTAGCCCAGTGTGACCGACAATCCATTCATATCTGTGTGTGTGTGACCCAAAACCATCTGACATTTTCTCTGTCTCTCTTCATCTACTTGTTCTTTATGTTTTTTGCTTTTGATTTAAAATTTCATTATGAAACTCACATTTTCAGGCTTTTAAAAAAAGTGTGTTGATACCTGTTACAATAAAGTGTGAAAAAGGGGAGCATATACCTAAACACTCCATCCCGGATTTATAAATGCATTCTTGTTTTTAAATGTCAAAGATACATCCCTTTGGAAATGGAATACTATTGTTTATTGCCAAGCCACACCTAAGTACCTAAACAATTGTGCAAAAACAGTTCTGGTAGCTAAATTGTAAACACAGATATTCATAACATTATACAAATGAAAAGGATGTTTTAGTGATACATTTAGGATGAAAGATAAAAATTTTTATCAAACCTCACAAAAATGTCATTCATGTGAAATAAATTCACTGATGTCATTGAATAAGACTTTGAACCATTTACTTACATGGATAATTTCAACAGGAGGTAATATCTTTAACTCATGAAGGGCTAAAATATGCTTTAAGAAACATTTTGTTGAAACTATTTTTATTTCATTCTATAAAAATATATGCATTGATCATATATGTGTTGATGGTCTCCATAAGGTGATTTCTTAACCTGAATCTTTGTTTTAAATTGTCCATAACTACATGATCCTTTATGTCATGATATGCATATATCAAGGTGCATGAACATTTGGTATCATTTAGAAAAGTATTTTTGTCTGTTTTTAGGAAAGCCCAAAGGCAAAGAAGACACTAAACTGAGCCCAAGACAAATTTCTCCAAGATTACAGGAAACAGTTCCATCTAAAATTCATCAAGAGAAGATAACTCCCACTAAAACAATTCAAGGGAACACAACTCCTACCAGCCACACCCATCCTGGTGCTGCCATGAAGTTGATGGACCTTGACAAAGGAAAAGTTAAACTTTCTCGTCAAATTCCACCTCTTGTTCAGAAGAAATGATTAGGTTGCCACAGGACAGCCATTCTCCTGAATTCATTAATACTATGTAGGTTCTGGGAGCAGTGCTAGTGTTAGTCAGACAGACCCGGTACCACACATGTCGAGAGTTAGTGATGAGACAGACAGCCTGTTTCTGAATACATGAAGTTGTATTGATTAACAAAGACTTCAGGTTAACATTTTGTAGACTGTCAGGAGCTCACCTTATTTAATGGAGTATAATAAATACACACTATATGGTGTATACTTAGGAACTGATTTCGTATGAAAGTTCAATACTTGGTTTGGACCCAGACATTAATTAGACCAATTATTGTCAGAAGTTCAGTATACCAGATCCGTAATCAATGTAGCAGAGCAGTTCTGTGCATGGACACATGTCCAAATTATCTTTGATTTTATACTAATGTATGTCCCTGTCTATGATATCATTAAATCATTGTATCATATCTATCAAGAAGAGGGGCGGTCGGGTAGCCTAGTGGTTAAAGCGTTCGCTCGTCACGCCGAAGACCCGGGTTCGATTCCCGACATGGGTACAATGTTGTGTGAAGCCCATTTCTGGTGTCCCCCGCCGTGATATTGCTGGAATATTGCTAAAAGCGGCGTAAAACCATACTCACTCACTCACTCACTCTATCAAGAAGAAAGTGGATTATTAATTGTGATGCTATGGAAATGTACTTTGAAGAATAACTATTGCCTAAACTATAAATCTACAACGAAGTTAATGGATATTTCCTGAACGAACTATATATCTACCGTAAATTATGCATATCCCCTTTCAGCTAAATTTGTAATTGCAGGAGTATCAAAAACATAAGGGGTGAGGTGAGACATTGCGTTCAAGATTGTTGCACTAACATAGCAATGTGCATGCACTTGTGCTGTTTCTACTGGTCCAGACTAATGCCGATTTTATAGTGTTATATAGCCCACTGAGATACCATGCCACAGTTTAACATGAATACCCCACTCAGACACAGTATACTGACTCCGAGCCGACAAGTCCTTCATTTGGCCCATTAAAGTTTAGCACCAAGCAGTGTAACCACAAGTACCATCTTTTAACGTCTTTGGAATGACAGGGCAGGGATGAAACCCCGGACCTTCCGCTCTCTGGGTGGATGCTGTCCCACTTGACCACAGAGGCGCTTCATCAAATATGTGCATTGTTTCTGTGAAATCTGCCATTAATGTCTAAACGTGACAGAAGTATATGGTGTAATATCAAGAAACTGTTATACCTTCTTCAGGACCTTACTTAACCATCATAGTTCCTCTATATGTCTCCGCTGACCACTGCAAATGTGCGATGCAGGCCAGGTCATGGACGTCCCACACCGGCTGGTCATTCACACGACTGGACATATTCAAGTAGAACAACAAGTCGTAAGACAGAGTTTTGAAAGAACAATAATTCACAATTGATATAATTTTACATATAATATTAAGTATAATTTGAATTTTAAGCATTTCTAAATCACCTCTGTAACATTCATATTTTTATTTCAATCCCCTACATGTCTCTCTACCTTTGAAATAGCTGCCATACTGTGTGAAATAGGGGAAGTCACATATACAATGTCGATTCAACTCAGTCAAAACTACATTTGCAGATAATGTTTTGCTTGATAAATATGTACATTCTTTATTTCCATAACTCAAAATTATTATTGGTCATAGGTCAGATTTAAAAAAGGGGTCCTTTTAAAAGATTCACACAAGATGGCCTACAATGGAGACACGGAGGAGCTTAAATTACGTAGGTGGGTAATGAAACATTTAATGCGGATAAATGTGCACTGTGAGAAAACAATTCAGGTCAATCTATAATGTTTTGTATTAGTTCTTTGAATGTCAAGGCTATGAGATAGTGTTATCTGATGTGTTATCACCTTTGCCGAACAAAACATCACCATGGTTGTTACAAATAATTGGAATTAGTTTTCTGTGAAAAGGTGTGTGTGAGGAGGAAGAGAATCATTTTGAAAGTAATTTTCAGATTAGAAACTCTTTTCTTTCATGTCCTTGTAAAGTAAAACAAGGGTTATTTCATGTGAATGAAATATATTCTGTTAAACCTGTCAGCGCCCGGACAGTACAGCAACATTGGTTGTACGTGTCACTTCTTTTGACTGTGTACTCTTATTGGCAACATAGATATCAATATTTGTGTGGAGATATGTAGAGGACTAAGGAGAAACAGAAGAATTATAGTCAGTGTCGACATCTTGAAAAAAAGCAATGCAGCTATCTTGCAGTTGCTTCCTGTACACCTGAAACAATTAGATGTGAGTGGCGGCCACTACCCAGACACCTGATCTGCAGATCTGATCATGACGTGTTCAACTATAGCCAGGAACACATCAGTGTTACAAAGAGCTTTTCTTCTTTGCACTGTTAGTCACATACATATGCACAGAGATAAGTAGTGATTTGAAATCCCAAAAGCTATGTGTCCGACTGCATGCAGCTTTGATCATCCACTGTGTCCTCATATCTATACCCGGTATATACATTCTAACATGGATAGTTTTTGCACAGCAAATGTTAACTGGATAATTTTGTAAATATTAAATATTTACAACCATGTATCATTTACTGACTGATTATATATGCCATATTATTCATTATTATTTATAATTATTTATGATGATTTTAAGTTGTTTTTTTCCGTCCTTAAAAACACTCTGTGATATTTTGTACGGACAATCTGGTTTTTTTACATGAATGTATTTGCTTTTTGCTCTGGATAACTCTATGTTTATCAAACTGAGATCTATTTCAAGGCATTATTCCAGATATACATAGTGCTACCTTGACTTTTTCCTTCAACTTAAATTAAAGTTTCAGTTGATATCATGTAGTTTATATTAAAAACATTATTAGTCCATATTTTATAGCCATCCATTATGTTAATTACATTCATGTCATTTATTATTTATGTGTAACCTCTATATAGCATGTTGATTTCATCAAACACAGCTGTGATTGCCTATTTATGAGTCCAAGATTTTGCTCATAAAATATTGCCCTTCAGTATAGACTTTGTTGTTGCTGTTTTACATGTATTTAAAGCATTAAGCAGAATGTCATTTGAGTTATGTAATATGAATTGGTGGAGCTTTTCAAGACGAGATAATATTGTCCATATGTGCCTGTGTGCACGGAACTGTTAATGGAGATTGAATGACTGTTTGGTATTCATTAACACACCCCATACAATATTCACACAACTTGTTTGCAGCACAGAGCATGTTTTTTGACAGCAGGGTTCTTATGGAATGTTTTTACATTGTGAAAGAATGTTTTAGTGAACCAGATGACCCAATATGACTGATGTGGGTCTATTGTTTGTTCACGAGTACTTCAAACTTGGCTCTGTTCAGATTGCTGATAACCTAGATTAGGAATGAGTAAAACACTTGGTGCCATTTTATCATTGATGGTTTTGAGAAAACAAATAGAGATGGATTCCATACTTCATATTTCTTCATCACAAATATGGGACACTTATGCTTCATATAATTATTTACCCTATTACCCCTTTTGGAACTAGGGTACAGATGGGTCTGACCATGATGCATACATTTACTGTGCAGGGTTGCACCCCAAGGCTGGATGGTTGAAGGGCTCGATTCCAAGATTCTTACTTATTATAAGACTTAGTCTGCCAGCATCCAAGTTCCTGTGTTTCATCAGTGTGGTAAGGGGCGGTTGGGTAGCCTAGTGGTTAAAGCATTCGCTCGTCGCGCCGAAAACCCGGGTTCGATTCCCGACATGGGTACACTGTGTGAAGCCCATTTCTGGTGTCACCGCCATAATATTGCTGGAATATTGCTAAAAGCGGCATAAAACCATACTCACTCACTCACTCAGAGAGGAAAACATCTTCAAACTGGGTCACTTTGGACTTTGATGAAGCAGTTGATGTCTGATTTTGACTGCCCCTGATGCACAAACACTAGCTATTACACATGCACAAACACTAGCTATTACACATGCACAAACACTAGCTATTACACATGCACAAACACTAGCTATTACACATGCACAAACACTAGCTATTACACATGCACAAACACTAGCTATTACACATGCACAAACACTAGCTAGTACAAGTTGATACCATGTCAGATCCTTCACATAGGTTTCAGTAGGTTGTATGACAAGACATCTAAATTCACACAGAACACATCACAACATATGCAGCTATGTTTTAAAGAAAGGAAAAAAATCATGTTAAAATGTTGTTTTTGTGTGTATTTTCCTGATGTACTGACTCACCATAAGTTTTCAACCAGGACAACAAAGTGAGGGGCTGCGCTTACAATGCACATACACAAAACTGGTAAAAATGAAGGCACCATTTTGCATCGACATTGTCAAATCCAAGATTAGCATTGGGATTTTTATGCAACAGGGAAATTCTAAGCCATTTGCCTCCTCAGAAGTAGGGTTCTCAGCAATAAGCGGAGATTGACTTCATCAGGTAAGAGTACAGGTATGTCTCCGTGAAAATGAATATTGATAATATCAGTTTGACTACATTTGGTATGTGTAATCTCTGGAGCATGATATATACTCTCTGGATCTAAATATATTTTGGGTCATTTCAATAAAAGGATGTCATTATATAAAAAAACCAGGTGCAGCAATATCTACAATATGTTCTCCACAATGTCTCGTCTTTATGATTGGGTTGTTCCCCCTCTTGATATACAGTCACTTGAGCATGGGCTTCCATTAGATTTAGACCACCAGAGGTCATATCTTAAAATATGGGACAGAATATCAACAATTTTCCAATCAGTATTGATAAATTATATATGACTTGATCCTTAGTTAAAAGTCAATCTGTCACTATAAAGGTCATGCGCTCATTTAAGATGCATTCAAATCAATATATCTTCAGCCAATTAAAATAACATAAAAATTTAAAGATCTCATAAAAGCTGCACTTCCCTTGATTAATCACTGAAAATGGCTTCAGAAGTAAACAGTGTCATGTAAAAACCCTCTAGCGCCTGTAGGCAGCTTGAGTTGTATACTCCCAAGGGAGTGGAGAATGATAACTGGAATGCAAACAGATCAACTGGTCGGGTAACAAATAAAACCGCATTTGAGCAGATACAATTACCTGGATACCTGTGGTATAATAATAATAATAATAATAATAATAATGTTTGCTATGTTGTGTAAACTGTGAACAATCTTCAAGAAATCCTAGGAAATAGCAGGAAGCTGGATGTTGGCTATGCTGTGCTGCAACACAGTGGAACTCCTCTTCATGATGGCGAATGTTTTAGACATCTTCTACCCAGAAACCAGAAGGCCCAGAGAGCTTTAATAATGAGGATATGAAGCAACATACACAAGATCAGATTTGTTCAGGAGATTATAATAATAGAAAGTGATTCTTTGTCATTGAATTAACATTGCTAAACATGTACAAGCAAGCATGCTCTTTCCATGGAGATTTGAAAGAGTGTCATATTACTGTTGCTTGAAAGTTGCATCATCAAGGTTACTCAGTAAATCTTTCAAACTGTTTGATGGACATGTGGAGGACGTTTCCAAATTGACACATCACTGACAAGAATGATGTCCCATGCAATTCCCTAGTTTCGCATGTAACATATTTTCCCGTGTGTTTTTTTAGATATACAATTGACTTGGCTTTGCATGTGTGTGACGGGTGCCACCGGTGGATATGCTCACCTTTTCGCGAACACTTGGTATTATCACTATTTGATAGTTATTCATAAACACTTGCTCATGATATGGTCGGAATCATTCAATCCACTGTTTTTGTCAGAGATTTCTGATAAATATGGAAGGGGTTTTGTCGCTTTTATTTAGCAGCTATTTGTTATGATTATGGAAATAGTATTTGTCACGTCATATATAAGCATCATCTCAGAAACCACAAGGTCCAAAAATACTATACTGTGTAGTATAAATATGGCACTATATCTCGGCGTTTGATTTAAGAATTTAGTGGATTTACTTAAAATAGAAAAAGGGTAACAAACATGCTTCTTAGAAGCCACAAGTCACAGGGAGCTGAATCTATCTGTCAATGATAATGACAACAAGAGTTTCAGGCACCATAGGCCATTATTAATGATGTGGATGAACAAACATGTTTAACATCTCTGAAACTGCAGTACCAGATGCAGTGATATTGTTATAAATGTTTCATAACATATTGATGCCTTCCACGTCCAATATACCACAGTTCACAGTGATTTGTCTTGCTCAATAGCTTGACATTTCACTGCATATAACCTTCAGCTCACTTGGAATAGATGATGAGCAACCGTGCTGTACATTTACATTTAGGATATTACCAGATATCGTGTTATGAAACAGAATATGTTTTATTTATTAGTACATCTTTGCTATAAACAGAGTCCATTGTATCTATTAATTCTTTATACATTTGTACCTACGGCCCATGGTACAATCGAAAGTCGACAGAAGACCAAACGACGATTCATTGCGTGATGTACAAACATGGCTGTATTTCTACTTTTCCGAGAATTTGCTCGGTTTGACATTAGCATATCAAACATAGATAATGTGGGATGGGCATGACACTGTTCTGGAATATACTGCTGGCGAAGGTTACCATATGCGTTACCATTTAACAAGAAATGGTATTCGTCCTCCACCTAGCCCATGTCACATGTCTTACAAAACCTCTGGTGCCCAGGAGTATTACTATGTCTACCTGTTTCCATATGTAAAGCATGTCAGCTACAGAGGAAGCGAGCCATTGTCGATCTAAATGTAGCAAAATGTACAACTGATAAATAATATTCCATAGTGAAGGTTGATATGAAAAAGAGCATAATGGTGCATCTTTGAGCTGCCAACAGTTGCTGAGTGCCAGTCCCGTTTACAAGCCGATTTCAAACGTGTTACAAACTGAGAAATAAACAGATAAGCCGGCACCCTGACTCTCCCAAACCAAACTTTACAGCTTAATTTTAGATGCACAATTACATTAACCATTGACAGCTTCAAAATACAGCATATTATAACATGTTTTAGGGTAACGAGATTCAGGTATATTTACCATTTTCCACCAATATGAAATACATTGCTTAAATCCTGAGATATACAATGAACATTTTGCACATTCACACCCGACCCAGAGGTTTGACGTGGATGACTTTACCCTAAAAACTGCTTACATGCAAATAGATGGACAGATTAAATTTCTTTGTAAATATCTAGGCCGCAAACGTCAGCTACAAATAATAAAATTGAGGAAACATTTGTATAAAAAAAATCTTAAAATACACATCATATTGATATGGTTTTAAATTTCTCAGGGACTTTAAAGCTGAGAACAAAACCTTTTTTGCTTGTAGCGATGCATTTGACACGTTTGCTGCAAGTTTTGGTTGTTGTTAATATGACCCCCAAGTGTTCGTAAGATGACACACATTCCAAGGGCCAGTCACCACAATACCATTTCTTATATTTTGACAAATGTCCGCCCTTTTTTAACACAATTTTTGTTTGATCAAGATTTACACTGAGTGAATACATACGACAATAACTCATAAGAGCGTTAATACCCGAATCGAACATAACTTTGAACAATAATGTCATGTAGGAGACCAGGGCATCCTGAACACCTTCAAACATTCAGCCGATTTACCTAATTTTAGACCATTAATGGAACTGATTATCATTTGTTCAAGGATAGGAGCATCAAGAATAGATTGAGACAACTCTTCTGAAACTGTATGATTGGTCTCAGAAGCAGAAGTAAACATTTCCTTAAAATACTTAAACCACTGGTCAACACTTATTCCGGGTTTAGAAAAAGTAGGCACCATAGATATAAATGCTTCATTCCCTTGTACAATTCCAACTACAGCATGATCATAAGCATGAATCACTATCAGATAGTGGTGATACCAGGATGTTGCATATCCTTCCCCTCCGTGGCACCAAGCACAAGCAGCTGCAAAGGCAGGTCAGTTGTTCACCTGACAAAAAAACAACAATAAAAAATGGTT